ATCAATAGAGACACAATCAAGGAAAACATTCTTTTACCATGGCCATGAACCACCTGGGGGATCTGGTAGGTACAGTGTCAATTCTTACCCTACCCAATGGCCAGCCACTAAAGGGAGTATCATATAGGGAATACATGAATATACAGTAGTTATGAAAAAATAAGATGTACAGTACTGTAGAGGGAAAAGAATGATTTAAAGGGGAGGGGTGGGTAGAGTTCTCTGATACCCTCCACCTCTTGAAGTGAAATTCTTGATTTTTTTCTGATTTCCTTATTATGTAAATCAGATTAGACCAGATGGAATGGACAAACTACTTCGATGATGTGGTGGCCAACTTGAATTGCAAGGCATTGTTTGTCATCCAGGGGACAAATATGCAAAGCTTTATTACATTAATAGGTCAATTGACATTAAAAGTTCACAACAAGACAAAAAAAACTTATATTTTACAACCACCACTCCCCATGTGGGGCTATTCCGTGAGGTTTCCTCCACAGGCACTACCACTACATTCTATATTTACAACATACAACACTCAACTCACATATTGATTTTTACGGAGGGAGGAAACTGGAGATCCTGGAGAAAACCCTCCTGGCAAGGGAGAGAACAACAAAACAAACAAACTCAACTCACATATGATCCAGTCTGAGCCGGGGCTCGAACCCAGACCACAGTGGTGAGAGGTGAGTGGTAGCCACTATGCCACCCTTGCCACCCATAATTGGACAAGACAAGAATTGGACAAGACAAGAATTGGACAAGACATGAATTTAAAAAAGTATACAGTCCTACAACTGAGTAAATTTCTTAAAGCTCATTGGGTCGTCATTTCAGAATATCATCTTCATGTTTTGTTTTGTTCTCTGGGTGGCCCATTATGCCTAGTTGCAATTCAAGATGGCTGCAAAATTGCCAAAGTAGACCTCCTGTAATGGTTGCCACCTCGTGATAGTGCAAAACCTCTCCCTAGTGAGCATTTCAACTTGCTGTTAAGGAGCCAAAACCACTGCTGTGGCCTAATTATGACTCCTTCAATTATTTTTCATTTTCCCCCTGTTTCAGACACCAAAAGAGGTGAAATATATGCTCAACGGTTACCTTGGAACTAAAAAATTTGCCAGCGCAAAAACCTCTGATGCAGTAACTTTTCTACCGCCATCCAATGTTAATCTGCCCAAAGATGTGGACTGGAGAAAGAAAGGCTACGTCACTCCAGTGAAAAACCAGAAAGCCTGTGGATCTTGTTGGGCATTCAGCACAGTGAGTTTGATCAGAATTACATGTCCATATATTCATCTTTTTTATATCCACTTCTGTTAATTACAAAAATCATTTTCAGACAATCTTGGTCAAAAATGTTGAGAAATGTTTAGTTTTAATGGTATTTTCATGAAAAACATGAAAAATTCCCCTGATTTGTTATATGTTGTTTTTTCCTTTACATCGGAAGTCTTTCTCCAGCTTCTCCAGTTTTCCCTCCTGTTGCAAAAATCAACATATGACTTGAGAGTTATGTACTTAGAACAATAATTATAGTATAGTGGTTATAAGTAAATATGAATTAGTTTGTTGACATAATCATTTGTCTCTCGGTAGAAATACTCCACAATGAATCCCTACTGTACATCATGATGTAAAATAATGATTTATTAAACTGTCAAAATTATAATGATAATAATTTAATGTACTTGTAAAAAGGTTATGTCTTAACTGCTTAATGTTACATTAAGACCCAAGAGAGACTGGGTAGCTGGAGAGGCTCAGCAACGAATCCCTGTATTATGTTACAAGATATGATCATGAATATACATGGTTACAGAAATGATTCATACCTCCCTAATCTGCCTGGCGTTTGCAAGAAAGGGGGGGAGGGGGGAGGGGGAGTTTGGAGGAGAACTGATAAATGTACGTCTGACAATTGTTTTGTGTATTATTGTGCACTATCATAACCTTTTTTGTCATTCTTTTTATGTTTCTTTAAGACTGGTTCCCTAGAAGGACAACATTTCAAGAAGACAGGAAAACTAGTGTCTCTGAGTGAACAGAATCTGGTTGACTGTTCCCGAAAATTTGGTAACATGGGCTGTGAGGGTGGATGGATGTACTGGGCATTTAACTACATCAAGGCAAATCATGGCATTGATACTGAAGAGAGCTATCCTTATGTTGGGGTGGTAAGCGATCAGAGTTCTATTTGATATGTATTTTGACTATTGTTTGGTTCAAGAAAATTTCCCTACTCACCATAGAGAAAATATGAAAAAACGTATACCCAAATCACTCCTCTAAAATTTCCAATTTTCTTTCAAACAAACTGGTAATTTTGCTTTTCCTCTGAACTCCCACCCCCTTGGAATTTCCATGTTCCTCCATGGTGGGGTATGGATATTTTTCTGGATCCACACATTTCTTCTTTTCACTCTGGATTGAGAGTAGGAAGATAATGAAATTAAACTTGAATCTCAACTTGATTGTGAATCCATCCATCCATCCTTTTCTTCCATCCCTCCACTCTTGTATGCACACATGCATTTATGCATTCATGCATCCATCCCATCCAATAGACCATTTCACAGATCCCGTTACTCAACCTCAGCCTCGTCATCGTGTAATATATTCTTTAGAAATTGCCTACAACCTGTGAAATTTTTAAGTCTTTCAATTGTTCGTTGATGTGTAAATTCTTTTCATTACTGCGGACTGTAGTCAAATTCACGGGATCCGTGAAATGGCCTATTATCCATCTATCCATCCATCCATCCCATCCATTTATCCCACCAATATATCCCACCCATCCTACCCATCCATCCATCCATCAATTTACATCTACTGTAAATCAAAAACAGGAAGAATCGTGCCACTTCACAACAGAAGGTATTGGTGCAACACTCACTGGATACGTGGACATCAAAGCTAAAAGTGAAAAAGACTTACAAATAGCTTCAGCAACAGTGGGTCCCATCTCAGTAGCCATCGACGCAGGCCAATCATCTTTTCGTTTTTACAGTGGTGGTGTTTATGATGAGCCAAATTGTAGTACAACACATTTAGACCATGCAGTACTAGTGGTTGGTTATGGTGTAACAAATAATGGCACTGATTATTGGCTGGTTAAAAACAGGTTAGTAAATCAACACTACTCCAAAATGTTACAAGTGTGGGATCTGTTTATTCCAGATGTAACGAATACTCGCCATCATAAACCACAACAAATATCATTTGTTGGATGACTTCAGAAAATCTGTCCTACTCGTTGCTAGAAATCTTTACAATTCCTTCTTGTTACTCCATTAATTCTCTGCAGTTGACCTACGCGGTTCACCTAGGCGGTTCTAATGAAACATTACATGTTACTATATCTATATGGCCTTAAAGGGGAGAAAGAACAAATTCTTTCCTTACCTCGTGGTAATCCTTCCCGATCCCAAATAATAAAATGTGAACGTTGGCCTTTTCTACTGTAATTCCTTCAGCTAGGATCGCGGGTTCGACTGCTCAGTGCGAATAAAGTCTATATATAATATAATATAAATAAATTTGTCGTGAAATGTGATCGTTATATATAAATAATAGACCATGCACACACACCAAACATTTTTGTTAAGAAAACTAAGTTCCTGATAACTTGAACCTAAATAGCCTGATAGGTCCTGGCTAAACGAGGAAACAAGTTTCCAGAAACATGTTTCCCGATGATTCCAAGTTTAGCCACATGCGAAACATTGCTACGTGCAACAAATTTTGCTTCCAAGACGCAAAAATGTTTCTGCTGTGCGACAGAAGCATTTCATGCTTCCAAGACACATGGAAACAATGTTTCCCAATGTTTCCTCGTTTGGCCTCGAAAGTCGACATTCTAAAAGTCCGTTGCTTAGCAACGCTAACTCTATCTTGAAAGTGCGCATGTGCTAACCGATATTGAGTAAACATGTTTCCCGATGTTCTCTGGCAGTTTTGCCACCTTTGGAAACATTTAAAAAATCATATTTCTGGAAACATGTTTCCTCGTTTAGCTTGGGCCTAATTTTGTAGTAAACACCTTTAACATAAGAACCTTTTTAGGCTAACATGGGAAAGTCTAGGTTCGTATACGGACGTATATGCGGGTTTTTACTGTAATGTTATAGGCTCCCTTGACACAAGGATTTTTCTTTAGGTTCTCGGTTTTTCCCATCTCACTTCTCTTAAAAGTATTACAAGATATATATATATTTTTTTAACACATATTTTCAACCATTTCAGCTGGGACACGACTTGGGGCATGGATGGTTACATCATGATGTCGCGTAACAAGAACAACCAGTGTGGTATTGCAACTAATGCTACTTATCCACTGGTTTAAAATCTCAAAACCTTGGTGGAATAAACTTCAAACTCCCCGACGTCTTTGAAGTTTTTAACAGCAATAAGAAGATAATTTAATGTGTTTTAATAATGTCATTAATGCTACGCAAATATTAAGGTGGAAACAGATGCATTAATTAAAAAAACCCGAAGCCATACGTTCTTGAATTGAGCGGGAAAATGGCGGATTAGACGACTGTGGACGCGTCAAAGACAAAAAATTTGTAATATTTAAAGTCATTAATAATCGCTTTTCTTAGTTTGTTTTTTTCTTTGTAACAAAGAGCAAACAAGTAAACTTTAAATATGTAATAGTAAATATTTTTACAAAAAAAAAAAAAAAAAAAAAAAAAAAAACAACAAACAAACAAACAAACAAAAACTAAGTTAAAATAAATGTAAAACTAAAAAATATTGTTTTTTAAAGTATTTTACAAAATTTTGTACATGTGTTCAACAGCTTTTCTAAGAATAGAATAGAAAATGTAAGATAAAATTTGCTTGAAAAGCTTGGAAATGTTATTATTTGATAGCCAATAAAAAATCCTGTGCTAACAATTTTAATGAACTTATATAATCGTTAAACTGAGTAAAAAGTGTTTTCCACCTTGCCAGATTTCCAGTTTTTCACCTTGCCACATTACTAGATTTATGTTTCCACATTGCCAGATTTATTGCTACATTTTTCAGATTTCCAGAATTCCGTATTTCCATATTTCCACCTTGCCACACAAGATATTACAGTTGTGTATGATCCATGTTATCCATATTACATAAACCCAATAGCTAACAAACCCGGGGGGGGGGGGGGGGTCCTCCCCTATATTTGCTATACGGGTATATGCCGCCCTATAGGGTATGGTTTTTCGGCTTTTCGGTAGTTCTGGGGTAGGGTATCATTTTTTGACATTTTGTCTGGGATGGGGTATCATTTTAGTCTGGGATAGGGTTAACGATTTGGCCGTTTTTGTCTGGCGAATAGGCTACGCTTTCTGCCGACCAAAAACAATGAAAATGTTAGTAAATATTGATTGCAATCGATTGTAAAACCGTATTTTCCGTCTTTTAGTCTGGGATAGGGTGTACAATTCTTAGTTTTAGTCTGGGGTAGGGTATGTAAAATCAAAATTTTAGGTCTGGGATAGGGTCAGGATTTTGAGGTCCTGGCGGCACACCCCTACCCAAGTTGGGGTGGTAGTACATCCCCCCCCCCCCCCCGGGCCAACAAACTATTTCACGGATTCTATTCTGATTTTTCCTGACACAATTTCAAGAATTTAACTTCAAATATTTGTGTCTCTGCAGCGCTATTCTTGATTTATCTTTCACTTTGGTTGTTTCGCAAAGCTGCAGATAGGTAAAACTTTTTCTCTAGCTCTCTTAATTCACAAAAACATGCTCGATTTGTTTTTGGGTCAAGAATAAGTCGATATTAAACTCAAGAATAGTTTAATTCAAAAAATACAAACAAGTAAGAAAACATAAAACGTGCGCTGGCTAAAATAAATATTCCAGCCAACACAAGCATTGTTCTGCATGGTCGCTCTTCCCACACGTCAATCCAAAAACTAAGAAAAACGTTTTCGCCCACAGTTTTACTCCGGTCACGTAACCAAAGCGATAAACAAAAATAAAAACGAAAAAACATATACGTTATATATACGTTAAATAATTAAATATATTAAAAAAAGCATTACCAAAAGCCGATATATTTTCCTTTTTGACGTTTTATTTATTCCAGATATTTCCAAACGCACATGTATATATTATATTATCGTCGATAATCTTCAACTTCCGTTTAGGCGTGGGAGGCGTCTATATATACACGATATCGCCTGAGTGACTTTATCTCGTGTTCCGAGTAGAGAAATCGCTTTGTGACTTGAAAGACGACGAAGAGTTAATAGAGAATCCATACTTAATTTATCTGTATTACATTTTTCGTTCTTATCGTTTCGATAGTTCGTTGTCACTCTTTCGAGGATTTTCGTCAAGAATTTAATGATCTAGCGTACTCCGAAGTACGTGTTAACTGACTTGCCTTGAGCATTGGACTCGGTAAGATTTTCAAAATGAAGGTATGTCGATAACTGTTAGATAACTTCAGCACCTATTTATGTTCATTTATTAATAGTGTCATTAATTGTGTAAATTGTGTTATGATTTTATTTTATGAAACGGGAAGAGTATCTTTAATGGTAAGTCAGTGGCGAGTCGGGGTTTTCGTGGTACAATCTCGAGAAAAGAATTCGCTAAATAAAGCATCAACACCCCATTGAGTAGCTTCCAACTATTATCAAGGGTCGACAAAAAGCCGATATCTTCAAATGCAAGGCAACTTCCTTATCAGCGACTCTAATACTTTCCTATCCTTTTCATCCAAAGTAATTAGCTAAGGTATCAAACTTTTAATATTTTTTATAAAATAAGATTTTGTTTTAGTTCAGTCAGAGATAGCATTCGTCAGACCTTCGTAAATGTCACTGACGTCAATCCCAAATGACGTCAAAACATTCTTTGGAATTCTTTTCGCCAAAATTAAAAATAATTAAATCTTTCTGTAAGGTATTTTCGAAAAGTAGTTTTGATTTCATTTCTTGATAGTATTAGATTGAGGTAAAGAAAAAAAAAGAAAAAAA